ACTCTCTACAGCTAGATGGCAGAGGTTAACATGTTTAGGACCACTATTAGCAGGGGATCAAGGGTGAGCTACATGGGGTTTTAACACTCGCCAGTCACATAACCCCCAAAATGCCTTCATAAAATTGTAAAAATTGAACCAACTCCATCACCATCCCACTGGTTAACCTTTAAAAAAATTGACACACAGCCCATTTCACATCTACTGTATTGTGACTTTGTCTTATTTTCATGAAGTTTTGCATGTTGTTCCATGGCAATACCAAATACTATTTGGGTAACAACATCTCCAAGCAAATCAGTCCCATTCAGCCCCTCACCTGGACATTATATATAACACAATTTATCCTTCATATATGATTTAAAAAATCTTTATTTATCCTATGCTACAAATTCTTGACACATTGGTGTCACTGTGTTGCATCTAACCCTGTGTTATATCATGGCATGTCAGCCTGAAGTAGTGGCTCCCAGAGCGATGTAGGTCATAGATCTTTATCCTGCTTGTAAAACCCATGGGCAAGGGAATGGTGCTAACAAATCAAAGATCAGCAGCAGCACAATCTGGTTAGATTTTAACCTGAATTCATCGGATCCTGGCACAATTAAAGGATGTAACTCTGCATATTGAATTGCAGTTCCTTGGACAACTTGACAACTCCTGACCCCAGAGGGCACCTTAGACTTTGAAAGCAGAGATAGATATTCAGTAGGCCTGTGATGAGTCCACGTTTACTACCCAGGTACCCGACCTCCTATTACACAATAATACCCAGTAACCACCGTAGGTATCAAAGTCAGGTACAATTGGCAAAAACTATTTAGATACATGTCTAAAATGATCTGATCATGCATAAACTGAAGTTGAATTACACAGAAAGAAATGTGAACATTAGAGACTTGTAGTGTTGAGTTTTAATGTTATTGTGATTATACAAAACATCATGTGACTAGGAAGCCCTGTGGGTACACGGGTCTGCTCAGGACCCACCTGGCCTGAGTGCCCAAGTTACCCGTCCCAGCCCTACTGTGGGTACCCAGGTCCTACTCAGGACCCACCTGGCCCGAGTGCCCAAGTTACCCGTCCAAGCCCTAATGTGGGTACCCGGGTCCTACTCAGGACCCACCTTGCCTGAGTGCCCAAGTTACCCGTCCCAGCCCTACTGTGGGTACCCAGGTCCTACTCAGGACCCACCTGGCCCGAGTGCCCAAGTTACCCGTCCAAGCCCTAATGTGGGTACCTGGGTCCTACTCAGGACCCACCTTGCCTGAGTGCCCAAGATACCCGTCCCAGCCCTACTGTGGGTACCCGGGTCCTACTCAGGACCCACCTGGCCTGAGTGCCCAAGTTACCCATCCCGGCCCTTGTATTCAGTATATCACTATGTACATATTTAATATACTAGGCACCAAAAGAAACTGTTGACATGAGTTTATCATCTATGTAATTGCTTACAGTACACACATATGTTGACACATTGTAAGTATATCCCTATCAAACACTGAGAAGCGTAGCACACACTCCTGTTAGTGCGTCGTGGAGGGCAGATGAAAGTTCATCCCTATCAAACACTGAGTAGCATAGCACACACTCCTGTCAGTGTGTCATGGAGGCAGATGTAAGTACATCCCTATCAAACACTGAGTAGTATAGCACACACTCCTGTCAGTGTGTCATGGAGGCAGATGTAAGTCCATCCCTATCAAACACTGAGTAGCATAGCACAGACTCCTGTCAGTATGTCATGGAGGCAGATGTAAGTCCATCCCTATCAAACACTGAGTAGTATAGCACAGACTCCCGTCAGTGTGTCATGGAGGCAGATGTTAGTACATCCCTATCAAACACTGAGTAGCATAGCACACACTCCTGTCAGTGTGTCATGGAGGCAGATGTAAGTACATCCCTATCAAACACTGAGTAGCATAGCACAGACTTCTGTCTGTCTGTCATGGAGGGCAGATGTAAGTACATCCCTATCAAACACTGAGTAGCATAGCACAGACTCCCGTCAGTGTGTCATGGAGGCAGATGTAAGTACATCCCTATCAAACACTGAGTAGCATAGCACCGACTCCTGTCAGTGTGTCGTAGAGGGCAGATGTAAGTACATCCCTATCAAACACTGAGTAGTATAGCACACACTCCTGTCAGTGTGTCATGGAGGCAGATGTAAGTACATCCCTATCAAACACTGAGTAGCATAGCACAGACTCCTGTCAGTGTGTCATGGAGGCAGATGTAAGTACATCCCTATCAAACACTGAGTAGCATAGCACAGACTCCTGTCAGTGTGTCATGGAGGCAAATGTAAGTACATCCCTATCAAACACTGAGTAGCGTAGCACAGACTCCTGTCAGTGTGTCATGGAGGCAGATGTAAGTACATCCCTATCAAACACTGAGTAGCATAGCACACACTCCTGTCAGTGTGTCATAGAGGCAGATGTAAGTAGATCCCTATCAAACACTGAGTAGCATAGCACACACTCCTGTCAGTGTGTCATAGAGGCAGATGTAAGTAGATCCCTATCAAACACTGAGTAGCATAGCACAGACTCCTGTCAGTGTGTCATGGAGGGCAGATGTAAGAACATCCCTATCAAACACTGAGTAGCATAGCACAGACTCCTGTCAGTGTGTCATGGAGGCAGATGTAAGTAGATCCCTATCAAACACTGAGTAGCATAGCACACACTCCTGTCAGTGTGTCATGGAGGGCAGATGCAAGTACATCCCTATCAAACACTGAGTAGCATAGCACAGACTCCTGTCAGTGTGTCATGGAGGGCAGATGTAAGTACATCCCTATCAAACACTGAGTAGCATAGCACACACTCCTGTCAGTGTGTCAAGGAGGGCAGATGTAAGTACATCCCTATCAAACACTGAGTAGCATAGCACACACTCCTGTCAGTGTGTCACAGAGGCAGATGTAAGTAGATCCCTATCAAACACTGAGTAGCATAGCACAGACTCCTGTCAGTGTGTCATGGAGGGCAGATGTAAGTACATCCCTATCAAACACTGAGTAGCATAGCACACACTCCTGTCAGTGTGTCATGGAGGCAGATGTAAGTACATCCCTATCAAACACTGAGTAGCATAGCACAGACTCCTGTCAGTGTGTCATGGAGGGCAGATGTAAGTACATCCCTATCAAACACTGAGTAGCATAGCACACACTCCTGTCAGTGTGTCAAGGAGGGCAGATGTAAGTACATCCCTATCAAACACTGAGTAGCATAGCACAGACTCCTGTCAGTGTGTCACAGAGGCAGATGTAAGTACATCCCTATCAAACACTGAGTAGCATAGCACAGACTCCTGTCAGTGTGTCATGGAGGGCAGATGTAAGTACATCCCTATCAAACACTGAGTAGCATAGCACACACTCCTGTCAGTGTGTCAAGGAGGCAAATGTAAGTACATCCCTATCAAACACTGAGTAGTATAGCACACACTCCTGTCAGTGTGTCATGGAGGGCAGATGTAAGTACATCCCTATCAAACACTGAGTAGTATAGCACAGACTCCCGTCAGTGTGTCATGTAGGAGGGCAGGCTGTGCAGTATGGGTATGCAATCAATCAGGTGAATCACACAGGTCGCCCTGCCACAGTGACACTCTCTTAATCATGCATGACATTTTCCTGCATTTTTTCCAATTCCTTCAAACATCCATAGTTACATACAACTGCCCAAATACTTACATTCAGTTCAAACAAAATGAATACAATGTATAATTTTACTATCATTTATCAAGCAGAGATATTTCCTTTCACAAATTACACCAGATAACCTGTTGATGAAATTAACGCTACTCCTCAAATATGGATATCCTTAACATTGATCCTAGAAGTTTGAACTAGAGGCACTTTTACACAAGCAAACCTACATACCTATGCTACAACTCTTGTCAACACCTGTCACACAGCAAATATGGTGATTTCTCTAAAACAATTCCTTCATTCTTTCAACATGTGTTACCCGATCAAACTTTAAGCACCACAATAATACCAAATCATTGATCCACATGGGGGTTTCAGTGCTTGATGACATTCACAGTTATTTACTTGAATATATAGTTTATATCACATATATAAGTGTTGTCATGGAAATAAAATTACTCCATATACACATCTTAAACAATAAAGTTCCTTCACGCTATGCACTATACATCATACTGAATTATAACAATATTAATTATATCATAACAAACTTCTCCTTCATTGCCTATGAAAAGTTTAGTGTACACACAGGACCATGTAACTGGTATTTTATACGAACAAACTCACAGACGAGGCCTTGTCTGTTTGTAAGTGTGGAACATTAGTTACACGGTCCTGTGGTGTATATCAAAGAAAGATGGCAAATGGAAATGAAGGAACCTTGATGTGACATTTCATCGAATCAATGTCATGATCAACTACGGTGTCAACTTACACAACATCAACATCCACAAGTAAAAACACATTAAACCATCCAGTAATGATGATGTATTAATGCTGTTCATTATTAATGAACGACGGTACAAGCATGCTGCTATTGTCCTCGGATGGCAGTGAGTGAACATCTATATAACTGTCATTACCATGAGGGACATTAAAGATTAATTGATACAGTTTGTGTTGTATTCATATTAGAAATAACCACGGCAACTGTAATACATTGAAATATCCATGTGTACTAGCAGACCGTACCCTTACTGGAACAGATTCGTCAAGGAAGTGTAAATTTAATGTTCAGTTCAATATGGAAGGATTCCTCAGGGATGTCGCCATTTTACCAAACAACATCTGTTGAGAATAAACATGTGTTGAACTCAAGAACAGAAACATTCAGACATGACTGTGATTGTTTAGAATCTGTCAGAAGAACGCTTTGAATAAGACATCTCATATGAAGGCATTGTGTGGATGTTAAATATTCTCATATATTAAAAATCAAAAAGCTTTATCAAACTGGGCTAGAAAGATAAATAACATCATATACTCATACCTGAATGTGTCAGGACATATCGGCCTGTACACTTTCAACATCCTGGATGTTGAAACGACAATAATCCCTCTAGAACAGAATCCTTCGTTAGTCCATTTTGTCAGCCATCTTGTCTGCTAGAAATCCAATAGAACCAGAGCTAGCTAGCATGTTGTGAATGGCCGCATAAATTATGCGGCTTGTGTAGGTTTGGTGTGACGTCACACAGGTCACAGTGACGCTCATCCGCTACAAGAAAGGCAGTTCCACAGAAGCTTGCGTTGGCCTCCAAACTGAGAGATCCAATAGCTAGTCTCGACTCAATAATCAATAATCATGCCAGTCTGTGGAAGAGTCTATATCTGTGGATGAGTCTACAGCAGAGGGGTGTTAGATGATGGGAATAATAACTTGAGCTTGTCTCCGTGTCATAATTATTTATGTCAACCTGTCAGTAATGACTCAGTTGTTGAAGTAATTACAGGAGTGTGTGATGTCTATAAACTGAATATACCACAATCAATACTGATGGTGACAATGTGTAACAATCTGTAGGGTTTTATTTTTCATAAAACTCCTTCAGTCAAAAATTGCAAAGTTTTATTTTTATTTTTTATGAAATATCATTAATAAATATGTTGAACAAAACATCAACTTTTTTTTCTTTCACATGGGATTTACTTTCATGACAACAAAACCATGCCATGAGTTATGAACATTAAATCACCAGGCACTGATATGGAGATTTATGATTAAAATTCAAGTTAATCAATACATGTAAGATAAGCCAGAATATTAGGTCATAGCAGGTATTGAATATCATAGTCTGCTTGGATAAAAGGAATATATTCACGGGTTGGTAGGAATGTATTTTACCGTGAAGTGAAGCTAATGTGATTTGGCTGATACAGTGAATAGTAGTGAAATGTGGTAAAAAAAATGTTCATGCAGTTGTAAAACAAATATTAATTTAATGTTTAATACATCAAAGTGCAACACACCTCTTAATAATGTCACTGGCATAGTGCCTCAGCAGTACTATCTCTAATGACACCTCTTATAAAGTGCCAAATCCTGGACAGCAGGCTCATGGCGCCTGACAAGATAATTAAGAGTTCCTAATAACAGTAGAATGCTTGAAAGATGTGTATTTATAGTGAGTGAGTGAGTATTGTTTTACGTTGCTTTTAGCAATATTCCAGCAATTTCACAGCAGGGGACACCAGAAATGGGCTTCACATATTGTACCCAGTGTATTAATAGGCTGGTCTTGAGCGTTGTTTAGAGTTTGAGAACATTTGATTTCATTTGGTGGAGTGTTCCATTTCATGGCAGCAGAGGTTTTGAAAGAATAGTGTTCAACTGTTTTGAGTCTTTGAGGCTGTGGCTGATTTTTAGCATCCAGACTGAGTCATGAGGGCTTGTACACGTATAGAAGTTCACAGAGGTTGTCAGGGCTGTTCCAGTGTTCCAGTGATGCACTGGTACATCACAGCGAGAGAACTTTGTGGTCAAGGCCGAGTTTGTACTGAGAGCCAGTGAGGAGACCATAGTGTAATGTGAGGAGATGAAGGTGGAACGGGGTTTAATGTCACGTCCAAGATTATTGCACTTAAATAGCGACATGCATGCATGTGTGTGTGTGTGTGTGTGTGTGTCTGTGTCTGTCTTTGTGTGTGTGTGTGTGTGTGTGTGTGTCTGTCTTTGTGTGTGTGTGTCTGTGTGTGTGTCTGTATTATCTGTGTGTGTCTGTATTATCTGTGTGTGTGTGTGTGTGTGTGTGTGTGTGTGTGTGTGTGTGTGTGTGTGTGTGTGTGTGTGTGTGTGTGTGTGTGTGTGTGTGTGCTTGTACTAGTAGTCAAGGCTAATGCCGATTTTATTTATAGTGCTTGCCCACTGAGATACCATGCCGCAGTTTAACATGAATACCCCACTCAGACACACTATACTGACTCCGAGCCGACCAGTCCTTGTTTTAGCCCCTTAACGCCGAACGCCAGACAGGGTAACAACAAGTACCATGTTTTAAGGTCTTTCGGTATGACACACACCAGGGATTGAACCCCGGACCGTCAGCTCTCTGGGCAGACGCTCTACCACTTGACCACATAGTAATGGTAATGTGAGGAGACTTGAATGTTAATGTCACGACCTGTACAGCAGTATGTTGGACTCTTTGTAGGCTGTGGAGGTGCTCCTTGGTAGGGCTCAGCCGTAGACTAGTACAGCAGTCAAGTCTGGAACGATTTCCACCTAAAACTTTCTCTACTGCCTTTAGCCGGCCTCTTTATACTGCCAAACTTACTTCTATGCCACAGCACAGTGTGGACAAAGAGCTGCATTTAATGTTGCAGCCCAATCAGTCACAGTGAAGAGTAAAATCCAGACCATGTTCAAGACAGGTGACAACCCTACCCACTCACCTACCTACTCAAAGGCAGAAATTCTGCAGGAATTCATCATCATAATAAGGTGACAATGATTCCCACAACCAGCTTGAGGAATTGGTTCTGTACGGTAAAGACGTAAAGGTGGACTATCTCTGGTTAATTAGCAGTCCTTCTTCCAAACCCCACTTTGCAGTCTACTTTTTTCAATATTATGATGCAGATCTATATAACAGCACAATATTACCCCAATTACATTGAAAAATGACTAAATGTTCCACAATGTTTCATCCGTAAATAAATAAATAAATAAATAAAATGAACACCAGGGGATGGAGCATACCCGGGGAGTCTATATTTAAAGAAATATAAGGATGCAATATTTACTTAATCAGGTGCAGTCTACTATCATTAAGAAGCAGCATTATATGATGACGAGACAGCAATTATTCCTTCAACATTTTGACAGAAGCAGCTCATTATTGAAGAAGTAAGGATTCTACAGGCTGTCTCATATTGGCATTGAAGATGGAATGGGATAATTCTATACCCTTCAAATCTTTCTTTCACCTTACTTTCATTCAGATTTGTTTGTTTGATCCTTTGGACTAATCTTTAATGAAACAATAATCATTCTTTAGGTGCTTCCTTTGGCTAATGCATTGTTCACAAGCTTACTTCATTAAAAGCCTCAAAGAAGGAGCATATTACATCTAGGAAATTGCTTGAACTTTGACTTAGACTGCTGTTGGGACAAGGAAGACCACAGCCAAACAGACTGACAACCGCAGTAGACTGGAGCTATGTACCTGACTAGAGTTATGAGGCTGCCAACCCCCTTTTGGTACACAGGATTTGGGGGTCTATAATTTAGAAGGTGTTAGGGACTCAGCAGTGTGGTACGTGGGATTTTGGGGTCTATTTAGAAGGTATTAGGGACTCAGCAGTGTGTTACACAGGATTTGGGGGTCTATTTAGAAGGTATTAGGGACTCAGCAGTGTGTTACACAGGATTTGGGGGTCTATTTAGAAGGTATAAGGGACTCAGCAGTGTGGTACGCGGGACACAAATGAAATTGAATTTAGTACACAGATTCAACTTTCTAAAATAATAATGCTGTATGTAACAGATTCATTTATATATTATATGTTTCCAATACTTTTTCAGTAATTGAACTTCCGATGGCACCCTTTTATGACCTAGGAACATGTTCTATAGGCATGCAGTCGTCCTAAAGCCTAGTTTCTCTGATACTTCGTAAGTATTGGCATGACACTAGTATCCAAACAAGAATGTTGGATCCTTTGGGATGCCATTTATCAGAAAAGGCACAAGGAAATTACCTTCTATTGACGTGTCCTCAGATCTTCATGCTGAAGGATATCGTGACAGATCGTAAAAGTAATAGATTTTAATGAGATTGAGAAAATTTATGTTGACTTGTCTTTGATAATAAATCTTAATATTTTTCATTCTGTAATGAGGAATTCTGGAACCTATCAACTAGTCTGGTCACATAACATAAAAGTGGGTAACAAAATAGCGCTACGAAGATAAAAACTGAGGTACCTGATCTAATGGTCACATTATTTGAATATTGTTGATGTACACAACCACAACCACAACGCACTGGTTACAATATCTCTTTAATAGGATTGATTGATAAGTTTCAGCTTCGTCCAAGCCACAATCTACAAGTACTTGATCACTGCACGTTCCTCAAGTTTGTCCATTTTCCAAAGGTCACTGACCCCTGCTAACTTTACTGATTTGTAACAGCGAAACCTCTAGGACATCATGTAATGTCCACAAATTAAGATTTCACCATTACACCGTTTCTTCCATGTGATGCTGAGAACTTCTCAATCAACAACCCATGGTTGATTTCATGGCCTTTTACAATGTTCTTAGAGGCAATTTGTCAGAATTTTACATTCACAAAGAAGACCAGAGCAGAGAAATTTGTTTTCAGGTGACCATATGAATATCCTCTTCTCCAATCTCAAGAAAACCATTGTTAAGGAGTGTGGGTATTCTGCCTTTGAAGAGTGAATTCTGACGTGCTTTTGAGATTTGTGTTAAGTAGTATTCAGGATTCAGGGGGGTGCAAGTGAGGCTCAGATTGAAAAATTAGATGGTATTCAGGATTCAGGGGGTGGAAGCGCTGCACCCTCTGCTATTTGAATGGCTCTTGCCATGTAGAATGTTAACTTTGAGAATATGTGTGGCCAGAGACGGACATTATTCTAAATGTATCAATACTGACCCTGCATCAGACCTGGTGGTAGCCCAGACAGAGTGGTTATCTTCCAGCATGATACATCTGTTGGGAGCCAAGGACGACAAAGCCAAAATGGGATTCAGAGAGCATTTTTCATCCACAAATGGCTACAGACCTCTTCCTTCATCAATTACCTCTAAAAACATAGATCAGATGGTGGTTTCTTGGTTGTCGCCATCTTGTTTTCCAGAACAAATATAGGTTGTAGTGTATACCAGTTTGTTGAATTCCATGAGCACAATATGATTCTCTTAGACCCATTGACCATAAATGGGCATTTTCTCGAGGCAAGGGCGTTAACTGCCTATAAAAGTGTCTGTTGCAATCCTTGCCAAATTAGACTGGAATTTCTGAGTCATATTTGTTAACAACATGCATACTGTCAACTGGGTTTTGACAGATATTTTCCGAATCTTTACATGTTTTTAATCAACATGTTCAAGTGATTTGATGCACTTCGCGAGGTAAGACTTATTTTTTTACAGATTCACTTGAATGGGCGGCGCCTTATTGGGTGATGCAAATGCAAGTGGCATGAGAAGTGGAACCTGATCAGTTAGGAGGGGGTACACAGCAGGGACATAACTCGTATAGCCACTGGTGGTGCTATGATGGAGCCATGAAA